CTTGCGCGTTCTCGCGGTTTCCGTTAAGAGAAATATGGTTTCCGCATTTTCAGAAAATGCTACCATACAGGCTTCGCGCTCGCATGTCGAAATCGTTCGAACGCCCTTGCGCGCGTTCTGGGGCGGCACGATCCGTGTCACATAATACCATGCGGGTCACTTTCGCGCGTCTGCCGCGCGCGCATGTCGAACTCCTTCCAAAACCTCCATCACCGACGCGAAGGCGCCGTCATCGTCGGCGTGATCAGCATCGGCGCCGTCATTGGCTGCCCCGCCGTCGCTGCCCGTATCGTTCCCAGCATCGCTACTTTCATCATCGTGTCTACCGTTGTCGACGTTGCCATGATACCGCGCCCGCCCAAATCGCCGACTCGCGCGAAGTGCCCGCTGGGATGTGCCGAGCGGTCAGCGCGTTCGCGTCGGCCGGTTCAAACTAGTTGGCCGCTGCGCGCGCGAGCATGTGCGGGCTAGCGCGGCCGCAGAGATGCACCAGCCAAGACCACGCACTCACCGCAATCGTTCCCCCACGGGTTTTGCAAACCAAGTTTCGGGTGGGTGGGTGGGATGCTTGCGCGAGCAGTGGAGTGGACAACGTCAAGTCTGGCAATGTGAGTTGCACCGCAAAAATCCACATGGGTTCATGGATACTGCTCCACGTAGACTGCACCACATGAATTGCAAAGTACATGTTGCACACCATAGATTTTACGACATGGGTTGCAGCACGTAGTTTCTTCTTTCAACAACAATTCCCTCGGGATTATCGGCCCCCCTTTTTCGTATTGCAGGGTGCAGAGGATTTTGCCCCATCGTCCATCCTAAATATGAATTCAGACAGTGCCATTTCACGTGGCATCGCCCCCCCCGCCATCCTCTGCAAAAAACTATGCGCGCGCACTCGTTTATCGAAAATCAGCAGTTTCCAAGAACCCCTTGCAACAACATGTCACGAAGTGCACGCGTGCGTCGTCGCGCGCGCATGCCGAAATCAGTCGAAAACTTCGGTTGTCGCAAGGATGTCAAGATCGAGTGCCAAAGAAACATACAAACGCACATGGTCTCGCAACTCTCTCTCTCTATTTCTTTTTTTGTTTCTCTCTCTCTCTCTCCCCCTGATATATATATATATATATATATATATATATATATATATTTATATGTATGTATAATCATGCGCGTGGGCTCTTGCGGAATCTTAAGAACGCCATCGTGTTTCAGCATTTTCATAACATTCTACCGAACGGGCTTCGCGCGCGCACGTCGGAATCGTTTGCGCGCCCTCGCGCGCGCGCCGTCGCGAGAATCCTTTTGGAACAAACTGGACGATGCGCACGCGCGCGCGTCGTCGTGCGCGCGCGACGAAATCAGTGAAAAACCTTCGGCATCGTAACATGTTCAAAACCGATTGTCCACCAAACATATAAAAAACGATTGTTTTGCAAATTTAGTTTTCCAGACAGCGCGCGCCTGCGCTCTTGCGAGCTTGTTTGAAAACAAGAGGTTGCTCACCATATTCATGGTACTCTGCCAAAAAAGGCGTCTGGCGCCGCATGCCGACACAATTCGCGCGCCCTTGCGCGCGTGCTGGAGGGGGGTGGGTGGGCGCGATCCGTGTCAAAGAACGCCATGCGGACCGCTCTCGCGCGTCGGTCGCGCGCGCATGTCGAATTCTTCCCAAAACTTTCGCCACCGGCGAGAACGCCGTCATCGTCGTCGGTGCGATCGGCATCGGCGCTCGCACTTGCCGCGCCGCCGTCGATGCAGCATCGCTGCTATCAGCGTCGTGTCTGCCGTTGCCGACGCTTCCATGATACCGCGCCCGCCCACGCCGCCGACTCGCAGTGAAGTGCCCGCTGGGATGCGCCCAGCGGTCAGCGCCACCGCGGCCGCGTCGGTCGCGCCAAGCTAGCTGGCCGCTGCGCGCGCGTGCCTGGGTCGGCGCGGCCGCAGACACGAACCAGCCGACGTCAAGCACGCATCGCAAGCGCCACCGCGTGAGTTTTGTAGACCAAGTTGCGGGCGGGTGGGTGGGGTGATTGCGCGAGCAGTGGAGACGGCCAAACGCGACGCAGGGTAGTCAATTTTCCTTTCTATGGCGAGAATACATTCGACTCCCCCAAGGATTATCGGCATCCCTTTTCGCATTGCAATCTACATATGGGTCATCCCCGTCGTCCATGAACTCATGCCATGCCAGCCCTTGTGGTATCGCCCCGCCAACCGCCATCGTCTGCAAAAAAAACACAACGCGCGCGCATTCGTTTATCCAAAATCACCAGTTTTCAGAATCCGCTGCGGAAAATGCGACGAAGTGTATTCGCGCGCGTCGCCGCGCGCGCATGCCGAAATCTGGCAACAACGTTTGCTGGGTGCCGTACAGATTTCAGAATCGAGTGTCCACCACACTTAAAAAAAAAAACACATGGTTTCGCAACACGGATGTTCACAAACAGTTTGCGCATGTGCTTGCGAATTCTGAAGAAAGTCCTACGGTTTTTTTGCGTTTTCACGAACAAATGTTACCAAGCGGGCTCCGCGCGCGCATGCCGAAATCGTTCGAACGCCCTTGCCCGCGTGCCGTCGTGAATATCATTTGCAACAAATGGGACGAAGTGCGCGCGCGCGTCGTCGCGCCCGCATGCCGAAGTCCGTCAAAAACCTTCGGCTTCGTAGCGATTTCAAAACCGGGTGTCCAATAAACATACAAACGCACGGTTTCGTCGCACCCGCTTCTGATATATTTGTATAAAGCGTGCCTTCGTGTTCTTGCGATGTCTTGAGAAAACTATATGTTTCTCAACATGTTCCTGGAGTTCTGCCAAGCGGGCTTCTGGCGCCGCATGCCGGCATCATTCGCACGCCCTTGTGCGCGTGTTGGGTGGTCACGATCCGTGTCAGAAAATACCATACGGGCCACTCGCGCGTCGGCCGCGCGAGCATGTCGAATTCATTCCAAAACTTTCGCCACCGACTCGAGGATGCCGTCGTCGTCGTCGGCGTGATCAGCATCGGCGCCCGCAGTGGCCGCGCCTTCGTCGATGTCAACCTCGTCACCGGCATCGCTATTTTCATCATCGTGTCCGCCGTTGTCGACGTTGCCATGATACCGCGCCCGCCCAAGTCGCCGATTCGCAGTGAAGTGCCCGCTGGAATCTGCCCAGCGGTCAGCGCCACCACGGCCGCGTCGGCCGCGCCAAGCTAGCTGGCCGCTGAACGCGCGTGCTTGGGTTGGCGCGGCCGCAGAGATGCACCAGCCAACGCCAAGCATGCATCGCAATCGCCACCGCATGGGTTTTGCAAACCAAGTCGCGGGTGGGTGGGTGGGGTGTTTGCGAAAGCGTGGGATGTGTCAACTTGTTCGTTAATATCAATTGCGCAACGTAGATTGTTCAACATGGCTTGCACAACATAGGTTGCCAGAGACACAATGCTTGGGGTCCACGTTGGTATTCCCTCCCTTGACGAGGCCCCTCAGGATCCTTGGCCCCAGGGGCACCCTGGACGCCCTTGCAGACAGTCCCCTGTGTTTGCTGGGGCTCCTGAAGTCCCTGCTGGGCTTAAGCAGCGGGCCCACATCGGTCAGGAGGGCGGCCGGACGGCCCCTCGAGGGCCCAGAGAGGCCCCGGACACCCACCAGACGCCCGAAGACGACCCAAAGACGACCCCCAAGAGGTTTTTTCGAAACGCCAAAAAAGCAATTGATGTCCATGGTTTTTTCCCTACCTAGGCTCTGCCTAGAAGGTTTCTTACTGTCTTGGCTTAAAGGGGCGGGCAGTGGAAAGCGCCCCGGGCGGCTCCCCCAGTCCCCTGAGGGCCAAGCAAAAGCAACAGCAAAGGTGAAAGCAAACGCGCGGTTCCCCCAGTTGCGCTCCCTGGGTGCCAAGCAAAATCAAAAGCAAAGGCAATAATGAAGGCAACGCGAAGGCAAAGCAAAAGCATAGCATAGCATAGCATAGCGCAGCATAGCATAGCATAGCATAGCATAGCCTTGCCTAGCCTAGCCTAACCTAGCCCAGCATAGCATTGCGCAGCATAGCATAGCAGAGCAGAGCATAGCATAGCATAGCATAGCATAGCGCAGCACAGCATCCACGATTGCTGTTGTTATATATATATATGTATATATATATATATACTTATATATATATGTGTATATGTGTGTGTTTGCGCGCGCACGCATGTTCCATGCATGTTGTCCGTCTGTGGGCCATCTTGAGCCCTTAGTGGGGCAGCTTGAGCCCTTAGGATTCGCGAAGGTTTCGCACTCAGCACCGGCCTGGAGACATGAAACCCGCTCCTACTAATGTTGCTTTCCTAGAGGCTCCAACTCCTAGGTAGGGTCGCACTGGGATGATTATATGATTCGGGGCATCGTAGTTCTTCGGTCTTCGGAGCGTCCGAGATCGCCCAGAAGGCCAGAGCATCGCCCCAAATTAACCAAGAGAGCTTCCAGGCTCCTAGAGGATCCCCAAGACGGCCCAACAGGGCCACACGATGGTTGGAAGAGAGCCCCATGACGGCGCAAGATGGCCCTCAGACGCCGCCCGAATCACTCCAATTGGTGACCCGGTCGTTCAGGGAGACCGCAGTTGGACGCAAGGTGGCCCGAGGAAGCACCCAGAGGCCCCCAGAAGGAACCCAGGAGGCTTCCAGAAGGCCCCAACAAGCCCTGAAAACCTTTGTGAGATTTATAAGAAGCTGAAGATGGGACCGATTTCGCAAAGTAGGGCGAGAGCGAGGAAGAGGAAGAGAAAGCATGAGGGAAGGATAACGAATAACATTCCGATTACGACGATGCCACAAATGGCAACAACCAATTCTCGCTAAATGTTCAGTTTTACCTTATTGTTTTCTTGTCTGAATGCCAAACCTTAAGGACCGAGGTGCATGGCGCGAAGCGCCAATGCAGTCTCGCATAAATAAGATGTGTGTGTGTGTGTCTATGTGTCTCTCTCTCTCTCTCTTTCTCTCCCTCTCTCCTGCTCCTCCTGATTCTCCGTAGCTGTTTTGCCCCGAGAGCCCCTGACTGTTCAAAGTTCAGCATCTCGTGAGTCATGTATACGGACATTCGGGATGGAGCATCTGCAGGCGCTTGTCAGGTCGTTGCGCGACGGCGCCGCGGGCAGTTGCGCAGCGCAGGTCGCCGCGGCCGTTGCGGCCGCGGTCGTCGATGACGCAGACGCTCTTGCGTGGGAGCTCCTTATCATAGGTTACCGCGCACTCGATGCCGTCGACGACCAGCAGCTTGAGGTTGCGACAGTCGGCGGCGTGCCCCGGCGAGGAAGGCAGAGGGGTTCTGTAGCAAAATAATGAGAGTTCTGTACACCGTCTCAATTCCGCCTTCAGCGTCGAGCAGCGTCTGGCAATCACTGAGGTAGCGCCGATTTGGGATTTTTACTGGCGTGGGTCAGCGTCGATCACCGTCGACTAGCGCCGACCAGCGTCGACCCATCGAGGAGGGGGGCGGCCTTCTCGGAAGGCGGCAGGTCTTCTCAGAAGCTTCTGCGCTTTCTGAGAAGCCGCCTGTGGCTTCGGAAAGGGCCCAGAAGGCTTCTCGGAGGGCGCGAGGGCTTCTGAAAGCCCCGCCGCCTCCTCAGAAGGCCGTGGCCCCCATCAGACCTCCAATGGCTCGATGTTTTCTGTGCGGGCCCCTTGGGCTCTGGACCACCTTCCGGGGACTCGCTCTTCCTTCCCGATCGTTGTTTGACGGTGCCGTCTATAAGAAGCAGGGATGCTTCTAAGAAACCTTCCCCCTCCCCCTACCCCACTCCTCCCCCTCCTCGTCCTCGTCCTCGTCCTCCTCCTCCTCCTCCTCCCCCTCCTCCTCCTCCTCTTCCTCCTCCTCCTCCTCTTCCTCCTCCTTTTTTTCTTGCCCAAGCCGATCGGCGCTTACACCTGTGGCGTCAGTGGAGCTGGTCGACGGCGACCCCGTCGACCAGCCAGGAAAGTTAAAGGCAGAGCCGTAACCCTCAATGTCGACGAGGATGCAGCTCGGTCTAGGCGGAGCTCAGACTCGTGAGTTCCACGCAGAAGCGGTCGTGCCAGCAACCGTTCTGGAGCAGGAAGCCGCAAGAACGGGACGGCACGACCAAGCAAGCCAACAGGTGGGACAGGAAGGACAGCAAGGACAACAAAGAATGGTAACAGAGAGATTCTGAGGACAGGGATAGGGAAGATTGCGTGTGGCTCAGGCGCGCAGACAACGAGGCTGCGTCGCCAGCCTCCTGTTGATGCCATTTTGGCAGTCAGACCGAAACGCTCGGCCGCGTGCTCGATCGAGGATGGGCCCACGGTCTCCTTCCCCACCAGCTGATCCACCTCCTCTCCTATCATCCCCATCTCCACCTCCTCCTTGAGACACTGCGTTAAAGAACAGGATGGGCAACAAGAGAGAGGAACAGGGAAGATGGCGAGCGAGAGGAAGTCCAAGCGAGCACGACTGATAGCCAGGTACGGCAGCGGCTGGCGAAGTCGGCTTGCTCGCGCCATGCCGTCCTCACCCCCTTGCAGCGCCCCCAATATTCCACCGACCGATGCCCCCGCCGTCGGATACGTGCCCACTCCAGGGGCGGACACAGGGGCCCTGCAGTGGGGCGGGCTTCCAGACACCAACATCCACTCCTCATTATGAAACCCCTCCACCTCGGCTTCGCAGCTCTGTGCATGAAGCGCGCGCGACGCCCGCGCCAGCCCATTCGGGCCATTCGGATGGCACGAAACTCTAGACTTCAGTAGAACCTGAGCACGGCAGCACGAAGCTGCGGCTCCGACGCCGCTGTCGGCGAACCCGCATTCCCGTACACGGAGCGCGCGCGATGCCCACACCAGCCCTTTCGGGCCACGGGCCGCGGGCACAGTCTGGAGAGCTCAGGCGGGAGTAACTTCCGGACTTCAACAGAACCCGAGCACGGCAGCACTATGTTGCGGCTCCGCCGCTGCTGTCAGCGAGCGCTGGCCTAACACGGCTTGCATCCCCGCCTGGTCTCCAAACGCCACCCATACCTCCCTGCCACCACAACAGCACAATGCACGCAGATCAAAGCAGGCCGAGCAGAGCAACCGCTGGACGGCACTCCTTGGAAACTCTCCTCCCGCCACCTCCAACACCACCTCCTCCGCTTCCTCCATGAGCGGCCGACTCCGGCCACCTAGCTGCGGCGCCCGCCGGCCACCTAGCTGCGGCTCCGCACGGAAGGCTGGACCAAATATGGAAAGGTCGAGTGTCTTCTGCATCCAGAAGGGCGAAGCAGTGCAACCGCCTCCAGCAGTCGACGGCGAGAGGCTGGCCACGGTGCTGGACACAAGCTCAGCCAGAGTCACGGTCTCAGAATTCGTCTGCAGCGACATTCGCCCGTTAGTCTCGTCTTTCCTCTACATCCACTCCTCCACTGCCCCACATCTTCCGTGAATAGAGGGCGGGTGTCTCTTCTGCGCAATGCAGCCAACATGGGAATTGCTTGGCGCTCGCCAACCTACACGATACACGGCGTTCGAATTGACGGATGTTGTCGCAACGCAGCGCTGCACGACGCTCGGCAGTGATTAAGACAATCTCCAACTGCGGCGCGAGGGAAGCAGCCACGTGCACGAGGGGGCAAGCACAACGCTGTATAAGGCATCGAACGCGGACTCGCTCATGCAACAACACTCGACCAGCTTCTCCAGAGTAGTCTCGCGCGTCTCCTCGGTCATCTCCGCGGTGACAGCGTCGAAAAGTCGGCGCGCCGTGGCCAGGACGGAGACGTGCTGGAACCTGGAGGCCGCCGACGAAGATCCTGCTGAAGAGCGTGCAGCATACATTCTCTCCACGACGAGGCAGGGCCTCGAAGTCGCCCAGCGCGGCAATGCCACGCAGCCTCTGGCCTCTTCGGCCGTCTGGAAGCACCCGCAGGGCTGGCTTCGGGCAGCTCTGCCGCCGCCGCCGCCTGCCGCGGGCGCCCTCGAGGGGGCTGCCGCAGATGGAGGAGTCCGGGGGTATCCTCCCTCCTCTGCAGCCTCTATATGGCGGGCGCCTCGCTGCCGCCGCCCGCGCGCGGGGCCCCGCTGGCGGCCCCACCCCGGGTGGGCCACGGCTCTAAGCATCGAATGCGGCAGTGGCGTCGTCGCGTATGCCACGGACACCTTCGCCGTGCAAGACGGTGGGCACGTCCATGTCACGGCCCCAAGGGCCAGACATGGACCTGTGGTGGCGGTTGGGTCAGTTGTTGCGCGATCGAGGGCGCGACAGCATCACGGCGGTCCGCATCAGCTCGCACCTAGAGGCGGAGGACGCTATCCGGCGTGGTGTCGATCCCAGGTTGGTTCGTGGCAGCGCAGCAGCCGACGAGTTAGCTGGGCACGCAGCTCAGCAGGCCAGGCTTGGCCCCGAGGAGCGAGGGCGCGTGGCGAAGGTCGAGGCCATGGCAGTCTGGTGGGGGCTTTTCCGCTCCGCTCTCGACGCCACGGAGGCGGAGCCCCGCAGACGACCCGCGAGGAACGCACGGCAGGCCCCTGCAGCGGCCAGTGCAGTCGCTATGTTTCTTCGACCCGCGTGCTCGGGAACGACGGCAGGACGTGCCGGGAATGCTGTCAGTCGGCACCGGGCGAGACGCGCACGGCGCGGCTGCAGGACCCGTGCTGGCCGCTTCTGGGGAGGAGCCAGGATTCTGCTTGCGCGGGGCCCCGCTGCGCCGCCCAGTCAGATCGGAGGCACAGTTGCCCACGATACCCGTGGCATCGCTCGGACGTGTGCATTTTTTCCTCGGTGGGGACCGTCGAGGAGCATCCTTGATCATTTGGCGAAAAAACCACGCACGAAACCGAAAAAAACACAGGGAATGGACGTCCGAGCGATGGCGAGTACCCACAACATGGAGGCAGAGGCGTCGCTGGTGGTCTGGTTTCGTGCCGGCTGCAGCTCCTGCAGTCCTGTGGGAGGCCGCTTTCTTTGGGACTTGGGCCACGACGGCGGTGCCCGATGGCCGGCGGTCCACCTGCTTCGAATGGGGGCCGAGCACCTGCGACGGAGGCAGCTTCGGCAGAGGGCCGGGCCCCGACCTCGGAGGCGCCATCACCGGGCGCCAGGAGGTGTGCACTGCTCAGCGGGCGAGCACGACCCCTCCTCCTCCTCCTCCTCCTCCTCCTCCTCCTCCTCCTCCTCAAGCAACTTGGGCCCGAGCATTTTGCTGGGACCGACTCCAGTACCTGCGCGTAGGTGCTTGGGGCACACCAGTCTCGCACACTTTTGTTGAACACGTGCCAACTGGTGACTAAATCTGGAGTTCAAAGAGCAATGGCGGGAGTACCGAACATGGCCACAGGATGGTCCAAGTGCCATCACTGCAATCGTTGCGAATGGAACAGCATCCTGAAGTCCAACAATTTCCAGTGCAGCAGGTGTCACATGAAGGTCAAGCTGCACAAGCCCACGAAGTCGGACAACGATGCCAAAACTAGAGCTGGCCACGTTCAGGATCCCCAGGGCACCCAGGCCAAGCCCGTCACGGAGATGGAGGCGCTGAAGCTCACCATCCAGACCACGACGGACGTCGCGCGGAAGGATGCCCTCCAGCAGAAGCTCACGGCCATTCAGAACAGCCAGGCCTCAGAAGGCTCGGCTGCATCTGTGGGCGCGGCAGAGACGTTACGCAAAGCAGTGGGAGCCTGGAAAGACGCAGATTTCAAGCATGGACAAGCAGTAGCACATGTAGTACGATTACGTGATTCCCTGGCAACGGCCGAGGCAAAGGAAAAGGCGGCAGCCGAAACCTTAGCCCAGGCCACCCTGGTCAAGCAGCAAGCGACGGCAGCCCTGGCAAAGATCGAGGGCATCACGACGCCAAGCAGCCAGAACCAGAAGGACACGGAGGTCAAGAAAGAAGGTGAGTACAACCCTAACTTCCAGATCACGTGGGACGAGAGCATGTTCACAGACCTGGACACAAAGGAGTACGAGCAAGAGGAGAAGGACAGACTGATCGCCATACAAGCTGAGCTGACAACCTTCCGCACCAAGGTGCAGGGCTACAACTCGGAGGTCGAGAAGTGGCTCACCGAGAGTGCGGAGCTTCGTCAGAGGGCCCAGGACCGCGCTGCCAAGAAGCGCAAGGCCACTGGCGGCGCCCCCGAGCAGGACCCAGGAGCCTCGCCCGAGAGGGCTGAGGGCGGAGCGGCGCAGACGGCCCCTCCCACGGAGGCTGCCGCTGCGCCAGCGACTGGGTCCAGCCAGGCAGCGGACGCTGCCATGAAGGCGCCGCCTGACGAGGCCACGGCGGAGGAGG